GCACTCACACACACTCACTCGCACACTCAAACACACTCACTCGCACACTCACACTCACTCGCACTCACTCGCTCACTCACACACACTCACTCTCACACACACTCACTCGTGCACACACTCACTCGCACTCACTCACACACACGCACTCACTCACACACTCACTCGCACACTCACTCACTCACACACACTCACTCGCACACTCACACACACTCACTCACTCGCACACTCACGCACTCACTCGCACACTCACGCACTCACTCGCACACTCACGCACGCACTCGCACACTCACGCACGCACTCACTCGCACACTCACGCACTCGCACACTCGCTCACTCACTCACTCCAGGCCAAATGAATCCCGCTCTCTCTCTCATCCGTACCTGCGCCTGAAGCCCTGAGACGCGTCTGATGAGGAACGGCCGGGGCAGCAGGGTGTAATTAACTCTCCAGAACAGCAGTGACACCTTACTGCCCCGGTGTGTCCCGACGCCCTCAGCACTGCAATGCACACACACACACTCGCTCACACACACACACTCACTCGCACACTCACACACACTCACTCGCACACTCAAACACACTCACTCGCACACTCACACTCACTCGCACTCACCCGGTGTGTGTTCACGGTGTGTGTGTGTGCACTTAGGATGGGATAAATCCAGAGCACTAATTTCGAGTATGTGTCACCATACTTGGCCACATGTCACTTTCACATTCACTCACACACACTCACTCACACACACTCACACACACACTCTCTCACACACTCTCTCACACACTCACGATCACACCTCCTTCCTCAGACCTGCTTTAACCTGAAAACTCTCTCTCTCAGACACAAGAAAGAGAAAAAAAAGGATAAAGACCGCGAGAGAGACCGTGACCGAGACAGGAAGGATGATTGGGACCGAAATCGGGACAAAAGCGAACGTTCCTCCAGCAAGAAGAGCAAAGACAAGGACAAGGACAGAGACCGAGACAGAGACAGGAAGTCCGACAGTGAGAAGGGAGATGTGAAGGTACCACTGTCTTGCGTTCACTAACCAGTCAACAACTGCGCTTTACATCCTACAGACCTGCCAACCTGTATGCATTTGACCTCAAAGTACGCTGGTACGATTCGTCACTCTAAACTCCACAAACCGTGGAAGATGAAGAGTTTGACCAATCAGAGCGTTTCGTTTTTCTTCTTTTTCGGTTTTGCGCAGGGCTGGGCGATATAGCCAAAAAATTCTCACAATTTTGTTCATATCAGGTGATATAGATACTTATGATAAATACCAAAACTTTTAAGTTTAAAGCCAGATTTTAAGTTTAAAGCCAGATTTGTGCTCAAATGAGACTAGACCAATAATTTTCCTTAAAATTAATATCTTTATTAATATAAATAAAAATTTATTTCTTGGTTTCCGTATGTTCTGAGTGATTTTCAAATCAAGAAACAGGTTTGTGTTGCCTGTTGATAATATAACATTTTTTGTCTCCTAGAAATACACATTTGATAGTATCCTGAGTTAGGATGCAAATGTAGATTTATGTTCATTATCAAAATCAGTAACAGCTGTGAGTATTGTAGCAATCTCATTTTTATATGCTGAAATTTAATTATTCAGACTTTTTTTTATTATTATTAATCATTGGTCTTCCATAGTAGCATACATTTAAATCATGATAAACAGTTAAAACATCACATCTAGCACACCTCAATACCATGGTAAAATATACTATAATTATATTCCATTACTCCTATAATAAAATTTAATATAAATATCCCACATTTCTGTAAAAAAGGCTGAACTATCCTGAACTAAGGGTGATTTTTCTCTAAATCAGATCTGCTGACTCTATCGCCTTCAAACGACTGTCTTTATTGTGTGTGTCCAACGAGTCAGATATCATTCTGAAGGTGTTTAATGGAGAATGTGAACATAAAAATAACTAATTTTTGAAAATTTGCTCATTCCGACTCATTTTGCCAGATGCAAGCTCCTCACCTTTAGGTGACAACTCACTTTTTTGAGATCAAAATAGGTCACCTATGACACTTTTTTTAATATTCAGTTATGAAAAGGTAGACTGGTGTTATTTGTATTGGGAAAAGTAAGACTGATAACCACTTGGCAACTGCTAGTAGGTTTTGCATAGTATTTTCTTTACTCTTTACTCTTAAAACTATGTCTAAAAGGGTAATATTTGATGTATTTGAGGTCTGAGATGTGTGAACGCTGAAGAACAGAGAGAGAGAGGGCAAACATTTAACATTTCAGCTCAGCATTGCCGTCTAATCAGCTAATATTGTTTTAAAGGGATAGTTCACCCAAAAATACTGAAGACGTCGTTAAAACAGTCGACGTGACTACAGTGTTCTACAATAATTTTATGAAGCGACGAGAATACTTTTTGTGCACAAAAACAAAACAAAAACAACGAGTTTATTCAACAACCTCTTCTCTTTGGTGTCATACTCATACGTTGTTTACGTCCAGCGCTTCCAGGTTCTACGTCAGAACGCCGGCTCATTATTGGACGGCTCCTGCATCAGCATCACACGCATGCGTCACGCTGCTCACATGTGCAGCTTCGGCTAATAATGAGCCGGCGTTCAGACGTAGAACACGGAAGCCTTCACTGTGCTTAACCGCGTAAGGATAATGACAGGAAAGAGAAGAGATTGCTCAATAAAGTCGTTATTTTTGTTTTGTTTTTGTGCACAAAAAGTATTCTCGTCGTTAAAATTATTGTAGAACACTGTAGTCACGTCGACTGTTTTAACGACGTCTTTAGTACCTTTATGGATCTTGAGAGTTTGGGTGGCGTTGCTGTCAATGGAGGCCTCTCTGAGCTCTCGGATTTGATCAGAAATATCTTCATTTGTGTTCTGAAGATGAACGAAGGTCTTAGGGGTGTGGAACGACACGAGGGCGAGTAATTAATGACAGCATTTTCATTTTGGGGTGAACTAACCCTTTAAATAGCCTGCATAGCACTTCATCTTTTATAACATGGGATTTCGACCAAATATATTAAATCTTGATTTTTGTCAAATGTTGCAACAAGATGCTTGTGTGTGTGTGTGTCTGTGAGAAAAATTGCAATTTTTGACGTAAGGTAATAAAAAATATTTTTTTAAATACCTCAAAGTAACTACAAATGAGCATGTAAAACAAGTATCTTAAAAAAAAAAAAAAAATCCATGTGGAGCATATGCCCCCAGTTTTTCCCGCTTCTCTGTTTGCATCTCTGTACTCAAAAAAAAAATAATTCCAAGGTCTGCATTCTAGCCCGGCTTCTGAGTTCTGTCTCTGTTCCGCAGGTGACCAGGGACTACGATGAGGAGGAGCAGGGCTACGACAGCGAGCACGAGGAAGAGCGCGAGAGGAACTCGGACGCCGCCTCGTCGCCGCAGGCTAAAGAGCCTCAAGCAGACAGCGCAGACGACGCGGGCCGCGGAGAGTCGGACGGACACAGCGAAGACCAGCGAGACGAAGACATGGACATGAGCGACTGAAGCAGCCCACGGATCAGTGTTTGAGTGTATTGATTAACAGAGTTCAGACGGAGATTAGTCTGAACGTTTCCTCTCTGAACTCCTTCATTCCTCCTCGTTTTTTAAAGTTCTGCATCCTCAGAATCTGCTGTATTTACTGGTACACGCTCATCTGGGTTTTAGAGCTGTTTCTTCTCTCATGGCTGATGTGGAACGATGTTATACTGTATATTTAGTGTAGACCGTTAAAAAATACGCCCATCCACTATGTCTGTTTGCAGTTTCTATTTAAACGAATTACCCCTAATTAAAAGTGCTTGGATAACGTTGTCAAGCAGTGGTTTTTTTCTCCTTTTAATACAATTGCATTTGTTTTTTACAGTTAGCCTGAGTTAGTGTCTTTTTAAACTCGCAGAACGTTTGTGGAACTTCACGTAAACTGGATTACTTTTTCTCGCGGGTCAGTCGACAGTCCAGCTGTATCTACCGCAATGTGTTTTTCCGTAGTGTGAACACACGCCGTCATCATAGACTAGTTTGCTAAGAAATGACGTACCTGTACTGTTTGCAATGTTACAACTGAAAATAAAACTTCATATAAAATTCTTGTCCACTTGTTCCTTCAAAACCACATTCCTAGGGATGTTAGACGGATGTGAAACACATTTATATTTTCTGAGATTTTAACAAGTGTTGCACGCCAGAAGACAATGTTAGCATCCATTCATTTTTGTTGTTGGCGAGAACGGGAAATTAATTATACAGCATAGAATGGTGAGCAGATCTTGTGTTTTCAATTTGTAAAGAGCAACAAATATATTTTGATAATTTAATGACATTTTGGCTGTAATCGAATGCAAATATTCTTGAATATGTCAAGTTTTTGCGCGCGCTTTCAGTAATGGCGCGAAATTCTGAGGCGAGGCTGTTCACAAGTTATTATAATTAAGTAATATCAGCACTAAATTAAAGGTCCGTTCATACCATCAATGATAACTATGTTAGCGTCCACACCAACGTGTTTATTGGAGTTTTTGTATTAAATGCTCTAGATCTTTTAAGGTGGATTTTTTTATTCTTAACGGTTTTAATTAATTTTAAATCAATTTTTAACCCATTAAGCACCCTCGTGAGTTTGAATCCTTAAGAATGTTATGCAAGGCATCAATATCTTGCTAATAAAAAACACATCCTCACAAAAGACTGATAACATTGGACAGACTGGACATTTTATTAATTGCAATTTGTCGTGTAAAAGTGCAGCAGGTTCATACAAGGTTCCTGCTGTACAGCCGAGAGTTCAATGCATTTGGGAGAAAATCTGAAGAATTACTGAAGGCATAAAGCAACTCTAAAAACAATGACATGAAACACAGGGAAAAAAAGAAGCTGGTAACATAAAAATACAAACACGCGAGTTTCCACACTAGCCAGTAGTGGGTCATGGAAGCGTCGCAGCACGTTTCCATTTGGATAAGGACAACTGAAACGAGAGGAAACTTTCCAACGTGATATTGCTGGTGCAAACGTGACGCGAGCTCCTTTTCCCTCGGCACACAGCAAACACACACATAAAACACTTATCTCGAACGTCTCCGAAACATTTTACACTAATATCTCAATAAACATAGTCGTCAGTTATACATCAATCAGTTATACATCAGTCGATTATACTACATTGGAAAACATATTTAAATTTGAATGTATTTATATCCATCTATCAAGGTGAAAGTAAAGTGAAAGTCCCGTGCGTTTCTGCTACATTTACATCCGGTCCAGTCCGATCCTCCACTAGGATGTGAGAAAGCAAATGATCCGAACAAACATACAGTGAAGGGCAGAGTGAATAAGCCCATTTCCCATAATGCAACAAGCAAACGAACTGGAGATGGAAGTGGTATTTACACAAAGTTTGTAGAAATGACATAGACATTGTATTCTGTGACGGGTTTCATACAATTCAAATCATATACAGATGACTTCCGCTTCTTTCCTAAATGTACACGTTTCCTTTAAGTGAAGTATACAAGTTTGTAACAGTTGTACAAAGATTTAAATGAAAACTCGGCTTGTTTAATAATTTATAATGCCGTATTTCCTGCCAGTTACAGAGGTGATGTGAAGCGACGCTCCGTGTTTCTAACGTACCGCTCCATCCGGAGCTTCATCATGTAGTGCAGCTGCGCTCCGCTTCGGATTCACACTCGCTTCAGCACGATCCCTTTGTGTGGGATTGAAGTTTGACCGGAGGGAGATGGGAGGAGATGGAGACGGGGTGAAGCGGGATGGGGAGCGGCTCAGAGGTCTGGGAAGCGGCTGGGATCCTCCTTGTAGTCGTTAGGAATCGTAAAAATGGAGTCGTCGAACTCGTCGTAGCGGAACTCCTGAAAGGTCACGGTGGCAGTGATGGTGGGGAAAACGGGGATGTCTGGAAGAGAAGCACATCATCATCATCATCATCATCATCAGAACATACAGCAGATGATGCTGCGTTCACATTACTATGGAATTATTGTAATTATGAGACAAGAAGAAGATTCTAATTCATCCAGCCTCCAATTGAATCCACATTCGTCTTTTTGGCCAAATGCAATCTTAAATCATCTTCATATTATTTTACAAAATCCTAAAGAACCAACCAAGCACTTCAGGCAACATCAACTATAATAAAACAATACAAACTGCCATTCTGGTTATTTTTGCATCACAATGATCAAGTGGCAGATATTGGACATTTACATTAAGCTTTGTTTTTTAAAATTACATTAGTTACAACAGTGTATTGTTTACAGTATATTTTACAGTTAATTATTTTACAGTTTATTCGTTTACAGTTTATTAGTTTACAGTGTTATTAGTTGACAGTGTATTTTACAGTTTATTAGTTGACAGTGTATTTTACAGTTTATTCGTTTATAATGTATTGTTTACAGTATATTTTACAGTTTATTAGTTTGCTGGTTTTTACAGTTTATTTTTTTTACAGTTTATTAGATTACAATGTATTGTTTACAGTTTATTAGATTACAATGTATTGTTTACAGTATATTTTACAGTTTATTAGTTTACACACACACACACACACACACATATATATATGTATATATACACATACAAATATACATATATATTTCTATATATACACACACATACAAAGAAAACAAGTATATAGAATAGAAAAATAATATAGAAAGCTAGTGTTTTGTTTTTTTTCTTTAAGGGGTCATCGGATGCAAAACTCACTTTTACAAGTTGTTTGAACTGAAATGTGTGTTGGCAGTGTGTGTACACAACCACCCTATAATATTAAAAATCCACCCAGAGTTTTTTTTAAATCCCGATAAATCATATCCCCTTTCTCAGATCAAGCCTTTCTCAGATTCTTGGCAGAGTGACATCACACACACCCAGGACCCTCCCACGAATGTTGATTGACACTGCTGTTGGATGTAACTTTATATTGCATTAATTTAATTATTAATTAAAAAAAATAATAATAATAATGTTCACTTCTTAGTACCCCCGTAGAACTGGTCCTGCATTTACCCAAAGCAGTGGTTTTCAACCTTTTTTACTCCAAGAGCCTTTTCTATTCACTAAAAAACATTTGTATTCTAGTATTATTACTTTTCAATTACATGTAATTATTTTTAAACAAAACATTCAAGATAGATTCAAACATTCCGTGTTCTTTTTTGCAAACATACTTTGCAAAAATGTCACTGCAGATATTCTATACAAGTACGTAAAGCTCAATTACACAGTAATTTTAACAAATAAGCACTAAGTCAACCTGCAATACCAAACAAGACCACAGGGAGATGCCAAAGGACTGCATATAAACTACTATCTGGCTCCATTCAGAATCACTAACCGCACCAAAATACAAATGAAAAATGCAACCATTCTGAATGTGTGGAAACTCATTGTCGCCTTTTAGACTTTTCATTAAGACCTTAAAGAACCATATCAACTTGTGAAAAATGGGCATCCGATGACCCCTTTAAAGAAAAACAAGCAGTTAGAAAACTAATAGAGAGTGCTAGAGTCAGAGGGTCAAATAAAGATGGATGTGTTTTTAGCGGTTTATGCTACATGTATCTGTTTACCTAGTTTGACAGGAAATCCAGGCGGAAGCTTCATCTGAACAAATTCTCTGAGTTTATTAAAGTGCTTGAAGGGTGCGATGACCTCCAAGACATTTAACAGCCTGTAAAACAAGTTGTGATCAGTAAGAAACAGCGCATGGACGTCGCCAGGAGTCTGCAGAGCGGGACACTTACGACTCGATGCTCAGAGGGAAGTCCTGACTCATGGCTACGGTTGCTTTGAAGTTCTTCTTGCTCTCTTTGCACACAAGCTCTCGGCCCAGATGAGGAGCCCTAGAAGACAGCAGACATGAGCAGTGCGTTTGGCTCGTGTTTGCGTATAGCCCTGTTCAGACGGCAACTGTTTCTCATTTGGACGTCTGTAAAAATACATTTACATATCACCTCAGTGATAAAACTGGTGGATTCGGATGGCGATCTCTTCACAGTGGAGAAGCGAGTTCTGTGATCCTGCGAACCCGGGCTGTAAATCAAATTAATTTTATTTACAGATTTATTCTTATTATTGTGTAAAATGTATTTTAAAAATATGTATTATTATGTCAAATAAAAGCATATTTCATAACATGTAATCCTATTTATTATTTGATTATTTAAATCGCCTGTTTAAAAATAGGAAAATAGAATATATACTATATATATACTATAGCTATTATATAGTTGAATATAATTATACGTGATATAAACGTAGGTTATTCGGCAGGGGATTTTTCCACGGGTGGTGAGAGATAAACACCGATATTCTGGATTCAGACAGCAATAAAATCACTGACTACCCGCTGTAAATGATGAAAATCCCTTATGTCCCCCTGAGAAACAACTACCATCCAAACAGGGCTTTATGATGGAGGTCTGACGTACTTTCCCGTCTCGGCGGTGATGTACTCCTCCCAGGAGATAGTGTTCGGAGACGGAGCGGTCAGCGACTGACGCCTCACCGGCTGTGACAGCACAGGGACACAAAAGTTCAAATACAGAAAATTCATCAATGAGCAACACCTCTTGTTCTCAGGTCAAAAACCTGACTGTGGTTTACACCGTACGAGAGAGTCATCACCAGCAGGGGGCGCTGCACAATCAACCTCAGCTCCTGTAAACAGCATTAAACTAAACGCCTCGAGTTAAACTGACAGTCGGAGGTCTTATTGTGCTTTTATGCTTCATCACAATAATCCACATCATATGACATCTAGATTTTAGAGAAATTCCACAATTCTCAGAATACTAGGGTAAAAAACAAACAAAAAAAAATCCTCAAAATGATTGAAAATAACGAAACACCAAGTACTAAAAAAGCTAAGGACAAATGCGACAGAATAAAAAGATACAAATGAAACAAACTGTGCTTAAAGGCTATTGCAATTCTGAAGTATTCAGTTAACGGCCTACTACAGAAATGAATAATCAAATCTAAAATAAAACAGTCTTCACTGTAAGAATTAAACTTTCTTTGTTTCTACAAAAGCTACAGAAGTCGTTCAGTGAAGAGCAGTGAGTGATTTAGTCTTTGTCTTTGTTGTTTGATTAATATTAAGCACACAGTCGCAGCAGGAAGATTAGGCTGCTGTCACTTTAAGAGCCGCACGGATTCAATTTACTGTCACGCACGTATTTATTACATAACCAATGAGGGTTTATGTTAATAATGTATGCATTTTGATACATTTTTGCATGTATTTGACCGTTTAGGCGCGCACCTTGAGCTAAAAATTGACTTTATATGTCTGTGTTCTGCTCGAGGAACAGCGCAATGTTTCTTTCGCGCTTTTAAAAACATGAATACATCTAATCAACTTTAATAAATCAAACACATACATACCATTTTGCAAAAGTCACGTTACATGATTTGCACGTGAAACTGGGCTTTTATGGAGGAGCGAAAGCGCACTGATAGAAAGGGGGCGGAATAATCATTTTATCTCGATTATTGTATTTTCATAATCGTTGGAGGCCGTGAGCGAACTGACCTCGAAGCTCTGCTCGATGATACTCCCTCCTCCTTTGCTGAAGCTCTCCATGATGGCCTTGTTCCTCAGGATGTCCTCCTCGCTCAGGTGCTCGCGTCTCTTCCTGGACTCCAGAACCAGGCCGTTCACCATGTAGAAATCCGCCAGGAAATTCCCCACTCGCTCCTGCGGGAACGTCACGAGAGGACGCTGTCAGACGCCATCAAACCACTCAGAAACAGCACTACAACAACGGCATCTAGTTATCTTCTGAGATTCCTTCGATAATGATAAATAGATTATATTTTTCTGAGCTGGTTTAGGCGTGTGGTGTCATATTGAAACCACTTTCTTAATAAGCGAGTCGTTGAATCATTCATTCAACCAATTCATCCAAAACAACCGATTCATTCAGAAACCAAGCAAGTGACTCTCTATAAAATACTCTTCAAGTTAACTGAATTATTCAAAAACGCTGATTTGTTCAGGAACGAAACACCAGCACGTGTCGCTCAGTCAGGAACTTTTAGAAATAGATCATATTGTGTCAGAAATAACCAGAATGCAGTTCGAATGACCCTAAAATTCAATATATGTTGCAAAATGCCCGTTTGAGTTTGTCATATTTCTCTGGTATTTAGTTCATCAATATCACATGTTGTCAGACGCCATCAAACCACTCAGAAACAACAGGTGTGCAATACAGACCAAAAATGATGATCATTAGATGTGTTTTTGAGCTGGTTTAGGCGTGTCGTGTCAGCTGACTCATATTCTTCATATTTAATTCACAGCAGTGACAGAAATTAATGTTTTTATTAACAGGTGATATTTACCACAAACGTTTTCCAGGGGCATTTTTACCTTTTTAAGAGCATTTTTTAACATTCTTAGACGCATCATCTTTTGTGTCAGATTTTTACATTTAATTACGTTCAACAAGTGCAATAATAAGACACTATAGAGCCGTTACAAACCAAATTAAATTAGTATCAACAATATTCATCTTTGCACTGAAGAAGCTGCATTTACACTGCATAAATACAGTTAAAAATGTTTTCAAAATAATATTTTAAAAATACTGATGTTACTTAAATTACAAACATTTTCAATAATTTCAATAATATAGAAATACAAATTTTATTTAATAAAATACTTTACAGTAGTTTTACATATCAGTTTACATTTCCAAACATTCATTTGGCCATTAACTGTAATAATGCAGTGAGATATATGTTAGTGCTGCACACAGAGATCTGATCTGATCATCATCAGTCTGTCTGGAGTCACATGAAGAAACAGAACAAACTGAGACAGACTCAATCCAGAAGAACTGACGCTTCTAGAAACCCAGCAAAAGATAGAAATAACTGACTTAAAACCATTTTTAGCTGCTGAGAATACTAGTGTTCTAATCATTTTGGCCAGCACTGTATAATTTGGTAATCTCCAGACACGTACGGTCTTGTCCTCTCTGAAGAGCCAGCCGGTCTGCGCACGCGAGAAGGTGATGGATTTGGTGGAGAGCGTGGCGGAGTAGATGTCGCTGCTCATCAGGATATCCACCTCCTCCTCCGTCTCCATCTCTGACTCCTGAAACACACACACACACACACACACACGTGTTAGACTCACACCGGCGCAGCACATGCGTGACGAGCAAGCAGACGGAGAACATGCCTCGTGATGAATCCGCTGATAAACCTTCTGCTCGTTGTCCAGAACCACGAAGGACTCGGAGCGAGCGGCGTCTCCACAGAAGATGAAGCTCAGGTCTCCTCGCTGACACTTCATATCAGTGAAGTCGATCAGTGTAGTGTCCAAACTACAGCACACACACACAGAGAGACACACACACACACACACACACACACACACACACACAGAGAGAGAGACACACACACACACAC